CTCTTTTTCAAAAAGTTGACTATAGGGGATACAGAAGATGGGCTGGCATTTCGCAAAATGCACGACCGATGTGAATCAGAAATCCGCAAATGGAATATACGAAAACAAGCCACTATTCTGGTCCTCGCTCGAAAAAACCAAACCGTCTTGTTCAAATACATGAGAGCGCCGCAGAAACAAGCCATCCGTATTTTCCTTGAGGGACAGAAAGGGTGAACCGACAAATGACCCAACAGTGGAATCCGAGGTTTACAGAGAACACTATGCGTGTCTATACGCAGCCCCAGCGTCCTCGTCACATCCACTCTTGTCAAGGCGGAACCACGAACAGCCTCTAACTTACTTGGTCTTCATGGTGGAGGACATTCGTCAACTCTTGCACAAGACCAACCTATTCTGCGCGTTGGGGCCCGACGAGGTCCATCCAAGGATCCTGAGAGAAACGTCCTTCACACTGGCAAATCATCTACACCTGATATTTCGTCGGTCCCTTGACGAAGGCCGCCTTCCCTCTGCTTGGAAGGAAGCGATTGTCACGATAATCTTCAAAATTGGTGACCGACTATCGCCTGGCAGCTATAGGCCTATAAGCCTTACTGGCGTGCCGTGCAAGGTGATGGAACGCATTCTGAAGCGAGCTATCCTAGATCACCTTTCTTCCAACAACCTGATATCTCCAGCTCAACACGAAATTCTTCCACAAAAAAAAAAGCCACTATTCTGGTCCTCGCTCGAAAAAACGAAACCGTCTTGTTCAAATACATGAGAGCGCCGCAGAAACAAGCCATCCGTATTTTCCTTGAGGGACAGAAAGGGTGAACCGACAAATGACCCAACAGTGGTATCTGAGGTTTACAGAGAACACTATGCGTNCTGTGTATCAATCCGTGAATCCGTGAATCCGTGAATCCAACTCCTAAGGAGCGATGTCTTGGCTTCATTTATCCACAGACTGTCCTCCTGGATACGCTTCAATACGGCCTTCAGGTAAACTGCATGCTCTGGTTTCGAATTGCAGCACGCAACGATACAGTCTCTATACACGGCAACATTCTGGAGTCCCTTCGTTAAACGGAGCATCGAGCGCCGGAACGTGAATGGTGCCTCGCACAAACCAAACGGCAATCGTCTAGATTGATATTGGGTGACCCCAACTGTAAACGCGGTTTTCTCCGGGTTCTCTGCTTTGATATGTAGTTTGCAGTATCCGGAACGCAAGTCGAACACAGTAAAATATCGGGAACGCTGGAGGGAATCGAAAGGGAACCGAGGGTACGGCTACCACTTGATTAACGGTCAGTTCAAGGGAAAGTCCTTAGCTGGATCAGAGTGACAAACATGCTCGTCTTTATGGACAGCTTAATCCAAGCCAAGGAGGCCATATTTTTCGACTGCTCAAAAGCATTTGATAGGGTCCCACACGTCCCGCTGCTCCACAAACTCGAGTCTAACGGGATTCAAGGGAAAGTCCTTAGCTGGATCAAATCGTCCCTATCAAACAGATCATTCCGAGTGAGAATAGGCTCGACCTACTCTTCTCCAGCGCTGGTCTCCACTGGAGTTCCTCAAGGCCCCGTCCTGGGACCACTGCTGTTTCTGATCTACGTCAACGATCTCCTAGATGTCCTTGGGAGTCCAACTCTACTCCTTGCGGACGACCTGAAATCCTGGAGTTCCAATGCCAGTGCCATCCGAATGGATACGGACGCTGCCAAGCAGTGGTCGTCGGACTGGCATCTTCCTCTGAATGATGAAAAGTGCGTCCGTATGTCATCTGAAGAGGACTTGGCGAATGCCTTTGTGAGAAGGGACCGAAAGTCATCATCATGAGGAAAGACGCCAAAAACGATTTGGGTATTGGGTCCCCTCAAACTTGTCCATCTCACTGCACGGTCGGAAATCAGCGCAAAGTGCATTCGCCATTTTATGGATGACCAGACGCACCTTCTCCCGTATTACTCGCATATACTGCCAAATACTCTATGAGGCCCACGTCAGAGTGCTTCTGGAATATGCCAAACAGGTTTTCTACTCAGGACACACGAAAGACATCACCCTCATTGAGCGTGTCCAGCGAGCTGCCACGAGACTGTTTACCGGCCTCAAATCCGTGGACTACGGAACGCGTCTCGCGATGCTTGATCTCTTTCCCCTGGAGTGCCGTCGTCTCCGAGGGGACCTAATTCTTACTTACGCCCTATTTGATGAAGGCTTGGCAAGCATTTGATAGGGTTCCACACGTCGCACTTCTCCACAAACTCGAGTCCTACGGGATTCAGGGAAAATTCCATCACTAGATCAAGGCGTTCCTATCAGACAGATAATTCCGTGGAAGAATTGGCTCGACCTACTCTTCTCCAGCGTCTGTCTCCATCGGAGTTCCTCAAGGTTCCGTCCAGGGACCAGTCCTGATTCTGGTCTACGTCAACGCCCTCACAGATGTTCTTGAAAGTCCATATCTACCTTTCGAAATCTACTTGAAATCCTGGAGTTCCAATGCCAGTGCCCTCCAAATGGATGTAGACGCTGCCAAGCAGTGGTCGTTGGACTGGCACCTTCCTCTGAATGATGAAAAGTGCGTCCATGTGTCGTTTAATGACCTTCCTCCGACGGTTGTACACGCTGCTTCTCGAACCCAATTTAAAGCACTATTAGACATTTATTTATGCGAATCCTCGCGCTGGCGAGCATACTGCCCCGCGCTGAGAACATAAAGAGCAGTGCTACACCCTTCTTTCACTTGTGCCTTTCAGGTGAATGACAGCCACTGACCGACAAGAACAAAACCGACCCGGGAGACTTGGGCAAAAGCCTCGATCCTGTGTATCAATCCCTGAATCCGTGAACAAATCTTGGCAAACAGCTTTTTTACCGTTGACCCGGCAAACACCGGCGGACATAGTAAGAAAATTTTCAAGCTCAGGGCACACATTAATTAGACAAAACTTTTTTTTCATTTCAGGTAGTAGCTCCGTGGAATGACCTTCCTCCGACGGTTGTACACGCTGCTTCTCGAACCCAATTTAAAGCACTATTAGACATTTATTTATGCGAATCCTCGCGCTGGCGAGCATACTGCCCCGCGCTGAGAACATAAAGAGCAGTGCTACACCCTTCTTTCACTTGTGCCTTTCAGGTGAATGACAGCCACTGACCGACAAGAACAAAACCGACCCGGGAGACTTGGGCAAAAGCCTCGATCCTGTGTATCAATCCCTGAATCCGTGAACAAATCTTGGCAAACAGCTTTTTTACCGTTGACCCGGCAAACACCGGCGGACATAGTAAGAAAATTTTCAAGCTCAGGGCACACATTAATTAGACAAAACTTTTTTTTCATTTCAGGTAGTAGCTCCGTGGAATGACCTTCCTCCGACGGTTGTACACGCTGCTTCTCGAACCCAATTTAAAGCACTATTAGACATTTATTTATGCGAATCCTCGCGCTGGCGAGCATACTGCCCCGCGCTGAGAACATAAAGAGCAGTGCTACACCCTTCTTTCACTTGTGCCTTTCAGGTGAATGACAGCCACTGACCGACAAGAACAAAACCGACCCGGGAGACTTGGGCAAAAGCCTCGATCCTGTGTATCAATCCGTGAACCCGTGAAAAGCATGCCACGGCTTGATTGGTCGTTATATGGGCCATCCGGGATGGAACATTTTGGCTCCGGGCTTCTCGCCCAGTTTAGATTTGTGGAGGATCCGTTGAGCAGGTCGCGGATACAACTGCGGGAATTCTCTGTTGTCCCCATCAAAGGCTGTACGAAGCTCCCGTTTCTTCTAATACATAAGACGGGTTACCAGTGATTAAAACGTCTCGTATAAAATTTTTTTTACGGATTCTTGCTCTGGCAAGCATACTGCCCGGCGCTTAGAACGTAAAGAGCAGTGCTAACCGGTTTTCACTTTAGCCTTTCAGGTGAACGACAGCCGCTGAACGACAAAAACAAAACCGACCCGGTAGACTTGGGCAAAAGCCTCAATCCTGTGTATCAATCCGTGAATCTCCGTCCCTTTCTTTTGACCTGTCGTTAGGTGCCTGAATTGCCTCCGTAGAATTTTGGAATTCAGGCTTGAAACAGAGCTTTCGGACTGTGCCACTATGAATCTTTCACCATTACGCCATCCGAGCCCAGAACGCACTGCTGGCACCAGTTGGCATTGTTCAGATCGCGCCTGAACGAAAACCCACATTACGACTGCGACGACGAACGTGGACGTTGCAATCATCTTCCGGGCTACCCAACCATATGGTGATGTCTGACAACACGGAATTAGGCCACACAAATGTCCCCCGGCATCCTCCTGCTTTGTATAACCTGAACTGAGTGTGAAACCCAGCATCGATACTTGTAAAGGTTTTGTGCTCAGTCTAACCGGGAGTAGGGTTCGAGCTGTTGTCTCTCATGAAAACCACCTAGTGTTACCTAAGCATTTGTAACCTGATGTTCCCACAAGAACCGCCCCATGTCTCGGAGGTTTTGACGATCAAAGTCGAAGAGTCCGTACGCGGCGGCGTGAAGAATGACAACGCTGGTGGATTACCACAGTCTAGGGGATGGAGAAGAACCGGACGAAGCAGAATGGTATATCGATTCCATCTCGCCGTCAACAGGAATTCAACGAGGCGTCACTCGTCCAACGTGATAAGGCACCCGTCCCGGATGATGTACACCCCGCACTTCTCAAAGAAGCTGGTGGACCCCTGGTGAACAGTCTAACGACCCTACTGCATGAGATTTGGGATGGATTTTCGGACAGAATACCGGCGGAATAGTGCACTGGAGCGGGTCGCGTTTGGAGACGCTTATGGTGTCAAAGTGGTGTACTCCTGAATCTCAGACTTCAGTGCGGGATGTTTTGTTGTATGACTGTGAGAATTGGCCTGTTCGATCAGCGGAACTAAGGCGTCTTCATGTGTTTCACAGTCGTTGTCTCAGAAACAGATCGTGTGGGTTGATGTCGGCGTATCCGTAACGAGGCAATTAGAAAGCGAATGTTCGGTTGTGCAACAGGTACTTCAATTGAAGAATGTGTCCAGAACCAGAAGTTGCGTCGGTTGGGACAGGTGTTGCATACGCCTAACCATCGTTTGCCGAAGAGAGTGCTTTTTTCCATGCCCAGTTCAGAGTGGCTTAATGACGGAGGCGGCCAATCCTTGAATTCGCAGAGAGATTACGAAACACGGGTGCCTGGGACCCCGTGATACTCACTTCGGCTGGTTGAAGACGCTGACCGATGTCAGTAGCAATCTTGTTTTTCTGTCCAGATTACCTGAGTGAGTGTTTGACGGTTTAGACACCTCGTGATGATTGTAGTAAGCTGGGACTAATTTCCTTCCAGGTCTTTATTCTTTTCTTCACTTCTCTTGATATAAATCATCTTTGTACGGCAGTGAAACATCTGTATTGAACACTGATGTCACGCTGTCGATGATGATGCGATATGAGGTAGACGCAACGGTACGCGCTTTTGTGGCGCTTGATGGATTGGCAGAAGACAAGCTTTGGCTTTTATGTGCTGAGTTCACTCTTTTAGACGGCGATCGACTCCTCAAAGCCCATTTTGTAGTGACGCAAGTTATGTATATGGGATAAATCCGAAATTGCGCGGAACATTTCTGACTGAGGAAAATATTAAACCTGCTGCAGCCAGCTCATGTTGCTTAAGTGAAGTAAGCGGCAGAACTACGTATGTAGGTTAGCTGAGGCATCTTTTATTGCTCCAAAGCATCTCTTTTTTGAAGAGCGATTGTCATACGGTAGTATGAAATGGGGGATAAACCCGATCCATCTAAATACAGACTGGTTTTTTCAACATATATTGAGACAGGCGATGTGGCGAATCGTCCAGCCATCCATTCCACAGCATACTCAACGATTTCAAGCGTGGACGCCTCAGCAAGACGGCTTTCAGCATGTTGTCAGCTAGGGTCTCGCGTTGAACCGACTATTAGTTGCACTATACTGGCTAGAATCTGACCTGTTGATAACATATAATAACCGCTGAATGTTGACCCTTGCAGAACTTCAGCAATAACCTTAACGGCTTGTTCTGATGAACTTAACAGTAAGCTTTGCTCTGCATTCATTTGCCACATCAGATACTGACCATTGTCCTTTTGCTAGTTTCAGACATCCTAACTTCTTCGTCCGCTCGGATCCTACTTGGTTTATTTTGAAGCTTTTCACTTTGTCATGTTGAATTCACAACCTAGTGGAACTCACTCGAACATTGGTCAACAAAAGCGGAACACATACACACATCTGTCTAAAGGACAGTCTCAACCTCATTCCATCCTTCCCGGCGGACATTCGGTTCCTACTTTTATTGGCCTCCCATCAGGGTGGAAACGAGAGGAGTGCACTCGTCCGTGTGGTTTGAGCACAGGGAAAACGGATGTTTACTATATAAGGTGCCTGTTTTGTTGTAATCTTACATGCGGTAACCTTTCAATTCCCCAGCCCCAATGGACAGAAGGTCAGAACAAAACATGAGATGAAATTTCTGCTTGATGATGCATATGACATTAGCACCTTTGACTGGAGAACGGGGAAGTTTCAAATGTCAGCCTCAAAAGTTCGTAGAACTGATGACTCTTCAAGTCCAACTTCTGCAAAGGGTAATATTTTTCCACCCAATACTGATACACTCGTATGCAGTTCCTCGCATGGATTCTGCCTTTGTACGCCGTACATCTCCCCCAGACGTGTTCACTCCTATTGTTGTCCGATCCCACCCGGAATGCAAACGTACCGATGTCAAGAACCTCAACCAGGAACCTCCACATCAGGTAAACATGATTATTTCTAGATATACTTCATCACCAGCTTTTTTGGGAAAAACGTTTTAAAGGCACTTACGCAGTCGATCCGGAAACTGGTGAGGCTTTCAAACAGCTTTCGTTACCGAAAGACATACAGTGTAAGTATCTTGTTTGCAGTTGCGCTAATTTTTACGCTTTTCAGCAGCCGGAGTACCTGGTTATGAAGCCCCACAGTTAGTACAGAGCCTTGTCAACGCTCTTGCTACGAAGAGCTCACCCATTACCGGTCAAGAACAACCAGTTTCAGCCTTTGAAAAGAATCCCTGTGTAGCAGCGAATAACTTGCAACCTATGATCAAGGTATATTTCTGTTGAAACGCCTTTATTCCTTGCCTATAGACGTACATAGTTTCAGATGAGGATGTTCGACGCCAAGAAGCGCGCGTCAGAGAACTTCGTCGGAAGTTGGAACTCGCTCGCAAGAAACTCAATCCAGTAAGTGGGTTATTTGTAACGTGTTTCTCCCTCGACTCATCTGCTTTCCAACGATATTCCACTATTTGACTTTCAGAAAATTCATCTCATAGGGTTGTATGCGGACGAGCAACATTAAACGTAAAACGATTATAGTTTTCAAACTTTGATGAAAAGAGTATCACTTGCTGACCTTTGACAGTATCTTAGCGACTCCTACACTATGACGCCCCATACCTACACCTTACTTGTGCATTATCATGTCGCAGTGCTACCGATTGGTATATACTAGAGGGCGCCTATGAAGCATCCAGAGTGTCCCACCAGGTTAGTTAATGGCTAGAGGCCTCGTGGCCTCCCAGGTTGGAGACCGAAATAAGTGTGGCAACCTGTCCCTGAAAGTTGGTCCACTGTGCTAATCGTATGCCGACCACCAATGCCTTGCGGTCAGACTTTTGAGCTAGTTTGGTGATGGATCATAATGGTCCTTCTCTGAGTTTGGACCATCTAGCAATATGCAATGCCGCGTGCGGCCATGATATACACGCGGTAAAGGGTCTTCTTACCACACTGGCCTTGGCTAGAGCTCAGTTGTTAGAGCACAAATTTACTGACCGAAAGATCCGTGGTTCGAACCCGACCGCTGCCCCTCGACTTCCCCTGTCTAGGCTTGGGCAACCTGGCAGTATCCCACCCCTCGTCCTTCTTTTGGGTGGTATGGCAGCTAGTCATCGGATAGGTGTTGCAGATTGAACATTTATTTATTTTATCTATTTAGCGGCCGTTGCTTGATAGCGCCGGCCTGGTAAACTTTTTCGACGCATACAGCAGGGCAGATGAGAGAATACGTAACTGTCGACGCCATCCATCTTCCTCCATTCTTCTATCGTAATTTCCAGATAGTCTTACTCAATATACACCTTTAAGGACTCATCGTCACTTAGAAATTCAGGTCACTTTGCGACTGCTGCGGCTATTGGCAATTGTATTGATGTAGATATCACTCTCCAAGCCGAGACTTCCTTGACGGTATCCCCGTAAACGATCGACTCCGTGCTTTTGGACTATCCATCTTCACATGACCTCGCATTGTTTGAAATACTAACTGATGTGTTACCTCGTGTGCACTAACCAAATTTAGTCGNTGAGTGACACCTCCTGCTGAATACTCATTATATTGTTTGCCACGAGGAGTTCAGTAATAGTCGCAATAGGGGAAGACTTCAGCATACAAGTAGAGCGCCTCGGTTTAGCTTAGAACAAAACGAAGTGCTAATGGTCAGCGATGTTTGTACCAACAACCAGTTCTCTCTCAGTCCTATTGGGCTTAGGCGTAGTGGACGCCTGGCATTCTTCTGCTGTTAGGCATATTTGGAATTCAAAGTCCTGCTTTTTATCCTTGTGGGTTTACTCAGATCACATTCTTGTCCTACGTAAATTCCGGTCAAGATTCTTCTGTAAACCTGAGGATACAACCCCTAATCTAGGAGCGGAAAAAATGTGTTAACTACACATTCCAGAGGCATAGCAAATCCTACCACTAGTTGCCGATCAGGTGACTGCTTATCAGTTCATCGAGCCTGAATTGATCTTAGATAATACTCTTAACATTTTTGTACAAAAGCCAGCGCCTGATATTATCAACAGCAGCTTAGTTGACTATCGACTTCAACACCCGTCATTCTACCCGAGCCGGGGTATGTGAGTTTAGATCCCCCTCATGTATGAAATACTGAATGCCTTTTTGTTCTAAAGTGCCTTTGGGCAGCTGGGCCGAATGGCCTTCCATTCGTGTTACTGAGGAAGAACGGTGAGTCTTAGGATTTATGGCCAAATTGTTCCAACCTTTTTGGGAGCAAGGACGCACTCCAGAGCCCTGTAGCCTGTCAGACGCCATACTTTCCTTCAAAGTCCCTCGAAACGACTAGTCCGAACACGGAGTCGTAGTCTTCACACCCGTCATAACACAGCTACTAGCTTCCTTGATGCTTCTTCACCTTGTTGTAGTGCGTGAGCGCAACCACGAGAACATCCGGCGGGATTTTGACCAGGTGTGATTGTAATATTCTTGCCTTTGTCGGTCAGAGTTGGCAATGGAATGTACAGTGGCTACTGTCTATCCCCTTATTTGTCAGTGACACCGTTATGGAATAAATACCCCAAGGGATTGAAAATCGAAATAGCCCCTGGAGATTGACAGCCTGCACTATATCGTTCTGTTTACTCTAAAGTGAATATCAGAAGTGGTTCGTCGGCTTGGCATCTTCAGAGATCAAAATGCTCACCATCTAGTCCTCAATCTTTCCATGCCCGTTTAATAGTGAGGTCCAGAGTTTTAGTTCGTTGACCCCAGGAACCTCTTAGGTCACAATTTAGGAGAAAGCTAATTCAGGGACGGACACTTCTTGCCAGCTTTCTCTGTTGGAAACGTCAGGAACTATTTTGTTTGTGCCAGAGGACCACGTATGGGAGACATATGTAGGCGCAATCTCACGTGGTTGCGGATCTTGGCACCTCTGAACTGAAGACACGAAATTTCTCCAAGCATTTTACCACCGGTACGGTGGTGGCAGGTTAAGTTATCTGACTATAGTGTTTTTTCAGTGAAACTTAAACAACTTGGTGGCGAACCCGAATCACCAACGCAGTAACTAAGCCGTATCGAATTACGCTGAGTTGGTACGTGTACTACGCCTACCCAACGAACTTCTACCAAAGGGAGCGCTGAGCTGGATATAGCTCAGTGGTCAAGGTGCGAACTAACGGCCGGAAGGTTTGTGGTTCAAACTACTGTCTGGCCTTAGTTAACTAGCAATATCTCAACTCCCGTGCCTCTATCGGGTGACATGGTAGCTAGATGCCAAAAGGGTGTTACAACTGAACGATTATTATCTGTTATTAGAGGAAGCACTGTCTTTCACTCAAAGCCCTTTCCAGTGAGAAATTCCTGGATGGTAGACTGATTTGATGACGCGAAATAAATTCGGCTGTGTACTTTGACATTTTCATGCATTCCTGAAGGAGGTCCATGCTACTGTTCCCTGTTTCGAAAAGACATGACATGGCCGTAACTAGTTTCATTGACGGGTGTGTTGTCACCTCCCGACAGGACCGTCTAGGCATCGCTTGTCTTGAATGCTGATCATTATTATGCAGATTTGTGATGTATATGCCTTATGCCTGACCCATAGATGTCACAGATTCCATTCTCTCAAAAGTATCGAGAAGTTCTCCGCAAAGTTCACGCAATTTCAGTGCAAGTGCTTTCGCCTGCGCTTGTTTATTTTGTGAGTGGTAGGGTGCACACTGTAAGTTGGCACGATCCCACGGTTACCATGACCCAGGAAATTTGTCCACACCGGTACTTGGAGATACCCGTGGGAGTTCATACTTGTTTTTGAAAAGGCTAACTACCATCGTTTCGTTGGCTGATGGAGTTGATTTCCTTGACACTTGCTGAATGTGATTTTGTTTATACCTTATATTCGGGAAAGCACCGCCAAGTCAACCTTTCTGTGCAGGTGACTTTAAGACCAAATTCTGAATCCATGGCCTAACAACTTACAGGTTTACCGCCGGGATCGATGACTGTTTAGAGGAAACGATCAGACTGTTCGCATATCCAATGGCTCACCAAACCGATATTCATGTCTTACAATGAATGGGCTTTATATCTGTATCGCACGACTTGGTGTGCGCCTTATACATGCAAAGTGTGAGGCGGCTGTGGCTGAGCGGAACAGAACCGAACCCCTTGTTGGCAAGTTTATCTATCCAGCTCACTATATGAGATCCGATGGCCTGGGCATAGATGATGCTTTTCGAACTGGAAAAGTCATGCTAGCCCCAAACTCTGTCATCTATGGAGTCAATGTGCTATCAAGGCGTCACAGACCGTTTGTAGTAATGTAGTACGAACATAGACTGGAAGCACGGTCGCCGCAGTTTCATTTGTCACATTCTTCGATTGCCACCAGACCAAGTTCCTTGCAAAATCTTCTTTTGTCCAACCTCGTCTTTTTTGGGATTGGTCCGGAAGGAGCCGGGTCGTGACTCAGCAGTGAAGCACAAAGGTAACTGGGTGACAAGCACCGCTTCGTTAATAGACACTATTTCAGTAGTTATGAATGTTAATCGGTGGCTCGATCGTGCTTCTGTTGGTGTACTCGTACTTCAGCTATTTCTTCCAATGCTCGTTGATAAACGAAACGTCGGATGCTTAGATCACTTTAAAACCTAGACAACTGCTACTGTAGGTATTGGTCAGATAAATTACTGCAAAACAAAAGAAACTGACATAATCACACGTCAGCACAAAGTTCTGAGCTACACCTTCTCAACATAGCAAGCAAAACAATGGTTCGAAGTTATCCGAAACTGACTCTTGTTACCTGACTCACTACCCAAGTTGAATTGTGTAGTGTAAGAAAGCGGACTTCTATTTCGAAATAGTTTCCAAGACGCCAACTATGTTGTCAATGGAGTACGGCCGCAATGTCAACAACGCGAAGAATCTATCTAGCAATTCATCCAGATTTTATGCTTCCTCATTCATCATCATCATTGTCAGCTGCAATAACCGCGTACTCGTCGTACAGTGGTTGTAGCTGCCGCAGTTTCGTTCACCGATGATTTGGGGGGAGGGTGGGATGCTTGCTTGTTGACCCTCTGTGTCTAGACTTTTACACTCTCCTATCTACGGTAAGCAGTTGTGCGTACACTGTCCCCTCCGCATATGACTTAAAAAAATAAACCGGCGAGGTCGCACTCACGTCGCACAACCCTTTACCACTGACCTTAATAGTCATACAGTTTTATCAAACGGGTTTTTGCGTAGGAGGCAGCTGTATGGAAAAAGCCTTGTAACACGTCATTGTTTTCAAATCAACCGAATACCATGTATAGCCCCCCGTCTTATGGATACGTTTTCCTCAAGGTTTTGGTGTACACGAGGCTCAAAGTGTTGAGCTCATCTCAGAATTATCCCTTCTTTTTCTGTGTGTACTTTCCCTGTTTGCATCGGCATCACACTCGTTCACGGAACTTGTCAACAATAACTCTGTACTACCGTTTTTCAGCGTTATTCGAGTGAACGACACGGATAGAACAATTGGAATGACATGAACCCTTGCCCCAGCCCTCATTGTACCTATTGCTAAGTTTGAGTGTCCCAGTGTATAATGCTTGCCTTCATTCATTGTTCTCATGGTCAAGCTCCTTCGTATGTATACGGTGCACAAGTGCAACATTGCAAACCTGTATTCTGAATATTTTCTTGACCAAATGCATGAACTTTGTTGTTTCTAGCAACTTCAATCAGGCGTTGGGTGGCTTTGAATTAAGACATACGTGTAGTCTAACTGTCCCTCATCATCCACATCACTATCGACAGTAATATCGATGTTGAACACCGGCACTTCACGGCCATCAGCTGGCCTGCATTTAGGAAGATTTATATGACAACGCACCCTAGATTTATGTCGAGAGACACTACCCGCCTATAGTGTGGTACGATATACTGCTGCCAAGTGGTGTAAATATAAATGATGGTCCATGACATCTGCAATAGCGATTCTCTCCGTAGTTTGGAAGTAGGAGCCTGGATTACTCAAATGCAAGCCGGGTATTGCATTCGCCGCTTGGAGACGTTTTTGCCAGTAATTCATACCAACAAAGCTAGTGAGCTGGTTCGATCTCCCCACTATGGGTGACAGACTGCACCTTCGGTGTCCCCAGCCGTAGCTATAATGGGTGTCGTTTGCGCAAAACCAGCCACTGTTACCAACTTCACGTTTGCACGGAGCATCTACTTTCGCTACGTACATCGTCGGCTCGTCATCCGCAGCGTATTTCACAGCCACTTTTCACGCGCTGCAGCGTTTTTCAGTGGAAATGCAAGCGTTCCTGTTTGGTTTCTCTTTACTCAAGCCAGAAAACAAGATAGCTTGATTTGCCGTCGGTAAGGTTGTGAAAACTCATGCTCTATGCCTTGTCGCCATAATGAGATCACAAGGTTTCATTATCCGTATCGAGACGCAAGTTGGCTCTACAGACGGGAACAATAACCAAATATACTTTCGGATCGTAGGCAACTAACTGTCACGACCCCATTCGACTGACATTTGTGTGCTCTGTGGAAATTTATACACCGTAACATTGTAGGCTACTTCTTGCTAAGTAAAGTACTCCATACTTTAAAGAAACGCCTTCGGGAGATGTTAGTTCTCTCTCAATCAAACCCTTTCTTCGTGCGTAGCCTGATTGGGAACAGCCCCATCGTCAGTGTTTTGCACTATGGCAGTAAAAATTCAATTGGACCTGACGTTTTAAACAAATTGTACCACAGTACTTTGCCTCATTCGGAGCGGATGTGCTGGATGTTCAATAGCTTTGGATATAGGTGATCAAGATATCACAAACCTATATATTGCTCATCGTCGCCAGCTGGTTGTTGTTCTGTCTAGTCAGACGTAAAAATCATGTCTATCACGAGGACTTATCCGCATTCACGAAGACAGTGGGAATTACTTGGAATCAGACAAATTGTGTGACTGTCCTTTCAACCCACACCGCAATCATCGCTCATCCTGAACGGTGTGTACTTACACTAAGTAAGACTGAGTCAGATCAAGACAATCAACTGCGCAGAGTAACTATATCGTGATGGGCTCCCTTCTCAGAAACTAAATCAAGCACTTCCTCCAGGGTTCAGAGAAGTTTGTTTCCCCAAAATGACCTGGTTGACTGAGAGTTCACCGTGGCGGAGCATTGTTTTTTAACGATCTCACTTAAGGCACAGATTGAATCAACTCGTGGAGGACCAGTTACATCAGAGGGGGCAGCGATGTAGCATTAGGTTTCCACGTGAATATACTCACCGGAATGCACCGTATAAAGCATTAATGGAGCAAAAGGAAATCGACAAGAGGTCAAATGCAAACATCTCCCTAGTTGCTGGCAAAATGTCTGGGCCCGGAGAATACGAACCCGTCCACCTTTATAATGAATTTGACTGTGGGTAAGGTGCAGTAAGGCGAAAGCTACTAGGAGTTTACATTGCCTTTTTAGACACGGCTGTTCTGGAAACTTTAACGGGAGGAAAGAAACGACGAACTTCTACATTGACAAACCACCCCATCCAGTTCGTTCAACGCCTGTCTATATGAATCACACGGCCAGTTGCAGCTGAGGGAGCGCTGGGGTAAGAACAGCGCGGAAGATTATATGTTGCTCTCAATAAGCAAGCATGAGCGACTGTGGTTAAAACAAATGAAACTAATGGCGATCCGCAGGCTGTACAGATGATTGGGAACGGGCAACTCATGCTCTACGCCGTCGCCACAATGAGATCCCAAGGTTTCGTTATTCAAAATACATTGCAGTCCAAAAAGAGTGGATATATTCAGTTTGGTACAATGACGAGAGATATCCTATCAAAACACGTAAAATGTCACGAAAATAGGGTCCAAGGTATAAAAAGTACATACGAAAATACAGACAATTGAGATATTAAAAGCATGTGCAACAATAAAACAAAAATAAAACTTTGGCTTGCAGGTGGTAATTGTGGTGAGAAGCAACGGTCGGCAGTGGGCGCCTACTGCGTGAAAGCCGCGTTAGGTTTTATCATTAAAGATCCATTGTGAAGGTGCGTGGTCCATTGTATGAGTAGTCCGAAAACCGCCTGCCTCTTGTATAACCTACGGCAGGGGATTGTCCGCGACGGCTGGTGGAAATCGGCGAACCACCATGATAAGGTATTTTGGGGAGTCCGTATAACGGAATGGGTGGTGGAGGCGGATGGTTACGCGGTCGGCCTGTTGAGTGACCAGCAGGCGCCAGTAGACGTCCACGTGAATGCTGGGAAGCAGAATAACTGACTCGACTTTCCAGCTCCAGGTCATCCATACTGGATGCCGACCCCCAATCGACATCAGAGTTGTTCATAGCCGGAATATTACGAGTGGAGAAAGCATCCTTGAAGGCCGTCTGAAATGCAGAACCAAGTGCAGCTCCAGGGGTAGCCAGGCGCACTTCGTGAAGGAAATGATCGGGTTTCGGCCGTCGACAACTAAGCCCAATAAGGGTTAACAGCAAAATGAGGACGGTAGAAACCAAGCAGCCGAGAATCACGGTGGCTATTTGAGATCCGAACAGTGGGAAATAATATAGCGGAGGAGAAGCTATTGGGCGGAAGAAAAAATATGACTGAGTATAGCCAATCGGACAAGTATTATGCGAGGAAAATGGTGACCTCGTTTTATCGATTCGCCGAAAAGAGACCCGGATGGTTGATACCGAAAGTTCCTATGTGCCGATACCTCAGAAGTGACAACTCGCCGACGACACTCCTGGAATTCAGAACTTCTCTAGGTTTACGCGCACAGCTATGTTCTTATTAGCATTTGATGAAATTCCAAGAGCCTAGGCAAGTATCAGTGATAACTAATGTGAGCGAGATAGGAGCTTCGAGTGGTGAGCATCGTCGTCAGCCTTCTTCGGATATTCAACATCAATCAGTTGCCATTTGGTTTTCACTCTTTCGGAATATAGCAACATGGGATTACCATGAAAGTTACTCGATTCCGAAAAATCATTTGTGAAGTGATTAGGTAGGATAAACCAGACGTAAGGGACCCTTAGTACGATATGAATAAATTAAGAAGGCCACTCGGCAGATAAATTGGTCAAACAATACTTACGTGGAACGATTTCGGCCAAACCCAAAAATCGTTGGCGCCAAAATGCCATTTCCAAGGGTCGGAAATTGTACCGCATTGTACTGTTTAAATAAATGAAAAGGTATCCGCCCTCTGAAGGTTTGTGGGGTCTCCACGTGGTGTTTTTTATTTCATACGGTGTTGGGTTCCTGTTCGGAGGGAAACGATAAACTTCAATGATCTCTTTGAATGGTATAGAACAACGGTGATGACTTCTATAGGGGGGTGCAGTGAGGGAAAGCGTGTCAACTGAATCCGGAGACAGGTTTAGACGCGTAAGTTGTGGACGTTTTACTGGATGATCGCTTAGCCCACCGTCCTCATCAAGAGATAGCATTGCGTCGAGTGACTTCGATTTCTCGTTACAGTGTACCAGTTGACCACATTCCAAGCCATAGCACGGTCGACCCAATTGAGCAACTTAACCTATAGATCATGAAAAGCATGCTTATTGTGTGTAACTCGTACTGAACACCGTATACTTGTCACCGAGTGGCCATCTACATAAGACATACAAACATCAAATCCCAACCGACGACTGTTTTCTCAAAGTTCCTGTCCGTGGACGTCGAGTTTTCATGTGCAAAACAAGAGATTGGAGCGACCAACATTGTCTCCACGGGTTCCACCCCGCTTCATGGAGCCAGTAAGGGGACCGTTGGTGACAAGTGAACCTGTAGAGTTGCGTGTGGTCATTTTCGGGTCGATTTTACACACTGAGAAGTCAGTAAGAAAAGTTTTTCAAGTACAAGTGAACCTGTAGAGTTACCTGAGGATCATTTTCGGTCGATTTTACACACTAAGAAGTCAGTAAGAAAAGTTTTTCAAGTACGAATTAGTGAACCAACATCCTACGTACATTTGAAATTTCGGGAGATAGTGGATAGCCACAGTAAGTGATAATCCCACCGGATAGAGATCAAAGGCGAACTCCCAAAAAGAAAAGTTCTTAGAGCGAGTTTTTTCTCCGATAACTCGATGGTTTCAGTCTAGAATTGGAAAATCTCTCAACTTGAATGCCTCGTGCACTTTGTGATAAGGCTGGCGGCTACATACCGAAGAATCCACCGCTTGAATGCTTACTAGAGGGTGTGAAAGTGGAAGCTGTTCATGAACTACTTAAACAAAACCGGCATATTTGGCCCGAGAAGCGTGTTACCGTCTACGGTAAGATCAAAACCCAAGTCGCCAGGCTTAGTATAACTAGTATCGGGCAACTGAGCAGACGATATTAAGCAATCACGGCTGGAGTCCACTCTAGCACACGTGCACGATGCGTATGATGGTGAAAATAGACAGATCTAACGGGACAATCGAGTTCTTCAATCGAACTACACACAAACGTTTAACAAAGAAATTGATCAAAAGAAGCTCACCCCATTTTGGCGAAGTTTGTCCACAAATCCATCAAGAATTCACTCATATTGGTGTCGTGTGGATAGAAGAAGGGGCGATTCGCTGTGATGGGTATCGCTGATTCGCCGTAGACAGTGGACCAGAAGGTCGAGTTCAAGAATGGGAAACCAAAGAGAAACGGCAGTAGGGCTCCGTGGTAAACTCCTGTGTAAATCAAGAAAAAAATGAAGGAATAGTATGCAGGAAATCTTGCTAGCAGTACGCTGCGGATTGGGTATTATCTCATAAATCACCTGATGCACCAACCGTTGGTGTTTAGCAACAACGAAGCGAACGCTCACTTCCACACCACCGAACCAGTTAAGCTGGCCAGTCGACTGTCTTGTCGCACTCAGGATGTCAAAGCCTTCCCTTATTGGGGAGCAAGGTAGATAACACATAAACTGGAAACCAAGTGCATGTCTCTTGCGGGTTTGGATACCTCAAACTATTTCACTCACATGCTGATATCGTGCGATCATTGAAATAGTTGTAACACTAGCTTATCCTCAGTTTTTTCCTTGAGGTTTTATCCATGTCTGCAGACCTCATCGAATCCGATTCCTCATTTGACACCAAGCGGTTATAACTCGAACCACAGTACACGATTGATAGTTGAACTGAAATGTTACTCACCAGACACGCATATTCCAAAAGCCAGACAGGTTCTAGAGTATTTTGAAAGTGACTAGCTCACCCATATGCCTTGTTGTATTGACAGAACACACTACTCGTAAGGTTGCTGAAAACCCTTCGACAGTCAACCACAGGTTTCAGTTTAATATTCGAGTTGCTATCAACCTTGTGTTACACACTAGCACTAGATTGTCGTTATTCATTACAGTTGCCGTATGGCACCAACTCAAGCAGTGACAAACTGATTCAATAGCTCATATGATATAATTCTCCACTGCCAACGCTACATATACTCCCACACAGTCGGCAGATGGCCTACAAATCCTCTCCTCTCCATAGATGAAAGGATCGAAACGTACAAGTTAGTTGTATACCTTTCATACAACCCGACGGGAGGATAAAGGCTGAGAAATCGCCAGGTTGTCCAAACCTAGAGGGGAGTAGTCAGAAATCTAAGAGCAGGTTCAAACAGAAGGCTACAACTTGATCTCTGCGCAACCTCGAGTTGAAATCCAGAGTAACGAGAAAACCAAGCCCACAAAACACAGTTGAGTAACTACATGACGTCCATTGGTGGTAAATGGTGAATAGTACATCCGATCGATACCTGTTTCTTGAGGCAGACATTGGAATCTACCTAATAAGGCGAAAAATTCATTTCTCGGAAGAACTTTAGCCGACTGTTTCACTTACCCCTTTGAGGTTGCAGCTCGGTATCGTTGGGGCTGAGATAAGCAAATTCGTAAAAATATACTTCATTTGAGTGGGCTGAATGAAAGCTGGCTACATTCTCCAGAGGCGAATTAATCTCGTAGTCGGATATAAGCTGGAATGGCACAGAACATAAAAGGTGGATGGATAGGGGAGTTCAGACCATGATCAATGAGTTGTGATCAACATAGTCAAAGATTTTACGGTGATCGACTGAACTGGAGATAGTAAAATATCGCGCGGAAGTCTACATCTCTAAACAGTCAGCCAGGCAAAAAGAACGCAGCAACCATTACCTTAATTACCCAAAAAGTCGTGCTTGTGATTCGCCAGCTGCAGCTTTAATGGCATGCATCACTGGTCCGGTGGCTTTTGGAACCAAAGAAACTGTATTCTCGTCTCGTTACTCATTCCGCGTTGCGCGCACGATGTAAGTGAACTTCGACACGAATGGGGACATGAGATGACCAAATTTTTGAACTGCTGGTCAAAAGCAACCAAGTACAGCATTAAGTCCTAAACGTTGGGGCTAAAAATATGGCTGAAAGTTTCAATATTCTAATGCTGCTGCAATAACGTAAACCGTCGTGGTGATTGATTCCAGTCGAGGTGTTGCCATGGTTGATGGGATAGGAGTGTGTTTGCCTCCCAAGGCAGGGCGTTGAATCTCAATAGCCCTTGAATGTGACTTAGACCAATTTAATGCTCAACGTAGAAAACAACAGGCTTTGTCCAACGGAATGGATAAAAACAGTTTGTAATACACAATATAAACGCAGCAGAGCGCTGAGCCTTACCGCAACCAGTCGTTCCCAGCGGGCTGTGTTGTTAGCCAGATTGGGCCACCATGTATAGCGAGTATAAAGTTCCTCAGTGGTGGCGTTGAAACGAAATACATTTTCATAGTTCACAATATTACCAATGGTGCGCCTTGCCAAAGCATCCGTGAACTGATCGATCGCGTAAACGTGAGACTCCCACTCTGCAAAGAATATAAAAACGAAGTCGAGTAGAACAGTTGATTTACATTACCAACCAAGCAACGCAGTTTAGCACTACCTTTATTGAAACGTTGTTCCTGCTACATTAT